GGTAGTTGCTGGTTGCATGTTATAAATAACTCTGGCGTGACAATAGGAGACCGATGGGAGCCTGGGGGGAGGGCACTCCTGCCAGAGGGAACGGTGTAGGCAGAGCCACAGAGCCGAGTGCCTCCCTGTGGCACCAAGCACGTGCCTGACTCCAGCCCGAAGGCGGTCACCACACACCAGGGGGACCCCCGCCGCCCCCCGCCCCTTGTTAGGGCACAGAGATGGGCGCCGGCAGGGCGGGTGGCTGGGCCTCTGCCGCCAGCTGTGGGAGCGGGATTCCAGCCACACGCTGACGGTGGCGGCAAGGACGCAGTCAGGGATGCTCTTCAAAGCCCGCGCTCCCCTCTGCAGCGCCTCCAAGATGGCTTAAGCCCGGCCTGACTCACGCCGGTGAAAGCGATCGCCATCCCTGAGCTCAAGCAGCCCAGACGAGGGGCTGCTGGCATTCGTTCCCTGATGCTGAGGGCAGATTTGAGGGAGACCTGCCGGGACTGGGACCCCTGGGAAGCGGGTGGCCCCTGCCTGGGAGGAAGCAAGCAGCCAGGGCTGGCGTGGGCTGTGCGGGTCCTGGCCTTGAGCCCCTCTGACCACGCTCCTTCCTCTGGAGGTGGTTTCCTCCCTCTGCACTGCCCGGTGGCTGTGAGTGACTCCAGCAGGGGAGCATCTGGGCGGGCAAGGCCCAAGTGGAGGGACGGGGTGCAGCCGGCAGAGCTGAGCTGGTTGGACACAGCCTCAGTGCAGAGCTTGGTGCAGCCCGTGTCCGGGGCCGGGGGTTTTGGAGGCCGACTCTGGGTATAGCCTTTCCTTTGGGTGATGGAGCCAGTCCCCCCAGCACCTCAGGTGCCAGGCCCAGGTGCTGGAATGCCTAGAGCCCACCATAGTCAGCTGCGTGAGGTCACCCTTGTGCCTGGAACCCTACCCTGGCCAGGGGCCTCTCCCTGGACCTGCAGCGAGCCCTGGCAGCGAGCCCCAGGCAGGCTCGTCTCGCTTTTCCGGACCTTTCCCCCTGCGTGGCTCCTAGCAAACCCTCCCCTCTCAGGCCCAGCCCTGAGCTGCTTCTCCCTCAAAGCCTCTCCTTGCTCCTCTACCCGGATGGGGGTTCTCCTTCCAGGGACCCCCCTGAGCACTGTACCCGAATGCAGCAGTGATTACAGCAATAAAAGTAATCAGAGTACGTGGTGGGCCGGCCGGCACGGCCATGGCACACTCAGCCCCACATTGGGCGCCTTATGTGCCGAGCCAGCTCAGCCATGTTTGGTGAGCCCGAGTGGGGGTGGTGAAGGATGGAGAAAAGACAGACAAGAGAAGAAAGCTGGGTCTGGGTGGGACGCTGTCCTCTCTGATGGAGAGACAGCGCCACGGACTACAAGCCGAGTCTTTATTTTATAGCAGATTCCACGAGGCAAAGTAAGGGCGCGGTCAAGATGTTTACAACATTCTCGTGGGTTTCGATCCTACTCAACTACATGCACCTGAACTCTATCAAGCCACATCACTCAGCCACGTGGGGCCACGTGTTCGGACCACAGGTTCAAGTTCACAACCATAGCTGTTGGCTATAATTGTGCTGGGAGGGCTCTGCCCTCCAAGCTGGGACTTGCACGTGGCCATGAGAGGACTGTGTCCTCTCATTAGTCTGAGGCTTGAACCTGTCCAAACACTGTAGCCGCTCTCCACAAGACTAAAAACCCTAACAGAAAGTTCCTAAACAAAAAGTATAAGCCTGCCACTCTGACACCAGTTCTTTGCCCCAAAGAGAACTCTCACTTTCCTAGTTGTTCTTCCAGAACAGATCATAAACTGGTGTATAAACTTTTAAAAATGTAGCCCTGGCCAGTGTGGCTCAGTTGGTTGCGTGTCATCCCACGAAAGGTCGCCGGTTCAGTTCCCGGTCAGGGCACTTACCCACGTCGAAGATTTGATCCCCGGTCGGGTGTGTGTGGGAGGCGACCGATCAATGTTTCTCTCTCACACTGACGTTTCTCTCCTCCCTTCCTCTTTCTCTACAAAAAAATCAATAAAAACATATTTTAAAAAAATAGCAGAAGTGATATTTTAAAAAAACCTTTAAAAAATTTACCCAAATAGCAGCACCCTTTACCCACCACTCTGTTCCTTGCTTTCTCACTTCACGACATATCTCAGACTGTCCACAGCAGTACATTCAATCTTCTTTGTTCTTTTTATTTATTTATTTTTAAATATATTTTTATTGATTTCAGAGAGGAAGGGCGAGGGAGAGAGAGATAGAAGCATCAATGATGAGAGAGAATCATGGGTTGGCTGCTTCCTCCATGCCCCCCACTGGGGATTAATACTTTATTCTTTTTAATAGCCACCAGGTAGTCATTACTTTGGATGGCCATATTTTTCTAAAAGATTGATTTTAGAGAGAGAAGAAAGGAGAGGAACATTGATTTCTTGTTCCACTTATTTATGCATTCATTGGATGATTCTTGTATGTGCCCTGGCTGGGGAACATGCAAACTTGGTGTATCAGGATGATGCTCTGACCAACTGAGCAACTAGGCCAGGGTCAGCTGGCCATCATATTTTTAAATCTTATTTTTATTATTTTTATTTTTTTTAAATATATTTTATTGATTTTCCACAGAGAGGAAGGGAGAGGGATAGAGAGCTAGAAACATCAATGAGAGAGAAACATCGACCAGCTGCCTCCTGCACATCTCCTACTGGGGATGTGCCTGCAACCAACGTACATGCCCTTGACCGGAATCGAACCCGGGACCTTTCAGTCCGCAGGTCGACGCTCTATCCACTGAGCCAAACCAGTTTCGGCTAAATCTTATTTTTAAATATATTTTTATTGATTTCAGAGAGGAAAGAAGAGGGAGAGAGAGATAGAAACATCAGTGATGAGAGAGAATCATTGACTGGCTGCCTCCTGCACGTCCCCCACTGGGGATCGAGCCCGAAACCTGGGCATGTGCCCTTGACCGAAATCGAACCTGGGACCCTTCAGTCCGCAGGCTGATGCTCTATCCACTGAGCCAAACCGGTTAGGACTGGCCATAATTTTTATTAACAGTTTTAATTTGAAATATAACAGAAATTTAGGAACATGTCAAATGTGTATGTACATTTTTACAAATTATTATAAAGCTGTGAAACCACCACTTAGGTTCAGAAATAGGCCCAACAGAATACCCACAGGTGTCCTGACGCAATCACAACCCCTTCTTCCTCTTAGATCAGTGGTTCTCAACCTTTGGCTGCACATTAGAATCACCTGGGATTCTTTTTAAAAATCCTGATTTCTGGGCCTCATCTGATCGAACTTCTGCATCATTGGAGGAAGTCTTGAGTAGCCAGGATAAATCTAGGTAATAAGATGTTTCATAGTCTCTCCCCCGACAATAGGGTTTTATATTGAGAGGTTAACGAAATAAAATAGAGAAATCCGAGAAGATTATAATGGATCTTCCGGGATGGTTCTGAGTTTTTCTGGAAACATCACTGCATGAGTTTTCGCTAATCCGACTGCATTTTACCTTTGTCCTTTGATGACTGATAGAGCCTGATAAGCAGCAATTTTTAATAGTAACGATTTGGTTAAATTCAGATTAAAGTAGCCGAGAAGTAAACATTCTACTACCTCATGTAGTTGACCGTAGTTAAGCAAACGAGTGGAATG